GTTTTTATATCGTCATCCGATATATATCGTTATATCGAACAGCCCTAGTTCCATGTTTATCTTTTAGCTTGTTGAGAATGCAGTTTTGTTTTAAACTTTCATATAAACCAAAGTTTAACTGCTGTCAGAGGTGCAGGTAATAATGCTGCCACGTTCAGTCAGATGAACTGTGTGGTTTGTCTCCTTTCTTTTATTTTGTTTGCTCTGCGTTTTCTGTAAATCCTATCCTTTAAACAGATAAAGTCTATCGTCCATCCAAACATCTATTAACTATAACCATGTGTCTGCTGAGATTACAGGGCCCCAAACACATAACTGAAGATACAATAAAAAATACTCTGCTTTAAACAGTAATTTCACACCCAGCAAACACTTATTTAAAATCCTTTAAAAACATGACTTTATGAGCTGGAAAGTCAACATTAGAGTCTTTAGTTTAGGCTCAGGTCTACGTTTCCACTGTCCACATGCAGATCTCCACACAGCTCATCCCAAACAGCGAAAACTTGTTGAAGAATATTTTATTAGACAACATCAAGTTATGGTTAAAAGGTTTTAAGGTCAACGAAAAGACAAAGAATAAATTACGTGTGTCTAAATCTGCTTGGAAAGTGCCGATTCTTCTCCGCCACACTTCTCCAAACTTTAAGGACGGGCATCTCTTGCTCAGAGGCGTCAGAGTTACAGTGCATCACTGTGTTGACTTAGCAGGTGGAAACAGTAGGTTTAGAGGCTTAAAAAAATAAGCTCATCATGCAACACTCCATGAGGCAATGCTTCACATGTAGAGAGAACGCAATGGTGTAAAGAGGTTTTTAATATTCAAAAATAATATGGCTAACTGACTGTCTTTTCTGAATGTCTGGTCTTGGTTGAAAATCCAACTTTAACTGATGTTGGACACGTCACCGTCTGCTGGATATCCATCCTGGGCTTTCTAGTTGTTTAATAACATCCTTTCATCAATTAAGCAATAAAAATGATAAAACTCATGTTAAAATAATCCGTTCTGACATTTACTTCTTAGTCTGCTGCCTTTTTTTTTTTTGTAGAACTATTTTCAACTTTCTAGCAAAATGACTTTCCGCCTTTTCACTTTTCAGCAAGAACACGTGATGGGTTATGTCTCCTCCCTGCTCCTCCTGTTTTTTGAAGCCTTCAGGGCTCCAGGTCATGTGAAGGCTTTTGTTTACAGCAGGTTTCTCCTGTTTTAGTCTCTTAATCTGAGCCAGCAATGTCTCTGCTATCAGGAACATGAGCGGCATCAGTCTTATCTGAGCAGACGAGCTGCAATTATTGCTGAGCATGAACACTTTATGTTAGAACACAACATTCAGAACTTGTTCTTCTTCATATCAAGAACACTGGTTAAAGTTAAAGTGTCTTAATGCTTCTAAAACACATTAACCCAGTTCAAGTTGCCCGTTGGACCAGGAGTGCCTTCCAAGACCAGCCATGACATAAATCCTGCTCACAGCTTTGCAGCTTAAAGTAAAATTTTGTTTGAGCTCAGAAAAGCTTTTGGCAGAAGATCCTGAGTTTTCTGCCTGAATCCTTGTGCACAGTGAAGCTCAAACATCCAAGAGAAAAGTTATAAAATCATTATCATTAATTTAAAATAAATAAAATAAGAACAAAAACTCAAATATTCAGCAAAGAGCTGATCAATTTTGAGCTTATAATTCATAAGAACTTGTCATTACTTCAGGTGAGGTTTTTCGGGGCTTTTTCCAATGTGACAAACATCATAACAGCATAAACTGAGACTATTTCACATCCTATAACAGCAGCGAGTGCAACATTACCGATCCCCATGAGTCGACCAGCATCAGCCTAATCCTCGGCAGGAAACTGCCAGGAAAAAAAATCAACAACATGCTGACATTTATCATTGTAAATATTTATATTGAATGATATTTAGACATCTATCCTGATGGCATTTTAAGCAATACTGTCCAGCCCAAAATAAGCAACAGCCAATATATGTTTATGAGTGGAAATGCCCTTTGAGAAGTGCAGCGTTTCACGGCCTGAGGAACTTCTCTGAGTCAAGCAGAAAAAACACTCAGATTCAGGTTTCTCTCTCTTTACCTTCAATCAGCAGGTGACCAACAATCACCGCTCAGGAGCTTTTGATCACATCGCAACGTCTTCTTTATTGTTTTGTACTTTTTAAAGACTTCCAATCCAGCAGTTTTCTCAAAATGTTCTTGCCCAGGGCACACCAAAGGGCAAGCCAAAATTTCAAGTCACATCTTTACAAAAACAAATAAAAAACGTACGTCTGCTGATATATCCTCGGTTCACGGCCTTCTTCTTCTTTTAACATGGAGATCATGGGTGAAAAACTGCCCCAGGGCCAGAACTGGTCCATAGACCATCATATGTGATTTAAGTCTACTTCAACTGTGGACGCTCCACTTGAGTTTGCAAACACACTTTTAGTTATAAACTGTAGCAAATTTTCTCCAATTGTAAAGAAAACAGAAGTTTTCAACTTTTTTCTTACAAAAAATCTTGTTTTTAAAACAAGGACCGGTTATTCTCTACTATGTCTAGCATATATTTAGCACTGTTTTAATTCAGGTCTTTAAAGTGTGCACACCTCTGCGCTGACAGATCCAGCCTGACATCTGACAAGTGTCCCCACTCAACCGCTGTACGTCTTGCCTTGATGGGCTCACGAGACGCTGAGCAGACCAGGTGTCTCTCAGAACACACATTTGGTTTGCAGTTTGTCTCTTTAGCCTGGGATTGTGATAACTTTAACCAGCTTTTCCAGGCGGGTGACACACTTGAGCTGAAGGCTGTTGACATCCCCCAGTCCACCTCTCTTCTTTAGGTGGATGGTCGTCTGCACCGGTGTTTAGTTGCGGTCTGCGCCACAGGAAAAAAGTGATCATATTTCCTTCCTGCTGTCAGTCGGGGTTGTTGATTTGTTACAGTCTCATAATTCCCACCATCTGGGAGCAGCATGAATGACTGGGGGCTGAGTTTGTGCAAAGTATCGAAGATAAAGTTCAAAAAAGGGTAAAAAGCTCATCTGAAGGCGCCTTAAACATGTATTCTTTTGTCCAGCAGGGTGCAAAAAGCCTTTAAGTTGTATAGATGCCTGTGGGGAAAACAGGCCTCAGTAAATACTTTACTGGTGACTTTATGTGTTCAGGAAGGAGAATAAACCTGTCGGGCTGTCAGTCACAGTCAGGTCCACCCCGCCCTTGCTTGTTACGCCTTTTTTCAAAATATGACAGACGGCAGGCATGTTAAGCTCCGTGCTTCATAACAGGAACCACTAACCACTGTCACAGTGGCTATGTCCATCTTTATATACAGTCTATGGGAATCACTGGTCTAATACAGGCATCCATCCCTTTTTCCTAAGCTTATTCAGGAATGTTTGAGCCTATCCCAGATCTCATACGGAAGAGGGAAGGTATATCAAGGAGAGGTTTCCACAGCACAAAGAGACAACCATCATTTACACCTACGTCCAATTTAGAATCAGGTAAACTAAGATGCATGTCTGTGGAAGATGCACCACCATAACCCTGGTCAGCTGTGAAATGAGTCTCCAAAAAGAGACAGAAATACTGCAAGCTAGTAATTTAATGGTCTCCATTGAAAAAAGATGCAAAATAAAAAAAATCAGAGGACTCAAATTAATTCTCTTTTACACAAATTTGTTGAGAAATCTATTTGGAGGCAAGCTGTTAACGCCTGGAAAGGGAAAGCAAAGTTCGAGTCTTGGTTGAACAGAGATGAATTAATAATACGATAAAAGTCAACAGTTTGTTCTGCTTTTAGGGGAAAAGAGGAGCTGATGCTTCACTTCCCCCGACACGGAGCAGATTTGTGTTTTGTTGTCACGACGCTGTAACGGCTTCCTGTAGCGCCAAGTCTGGCTGAAAGGTTTCATGTACTTCATAAAAATGTGATGAGTCCTTAAAAAAAACGCTGTGTGCAGGATAAACATCCTCACCTTGTCCTTCAGCTTGCTCTGGCTCCTGGTCTGTGGGAATACTGGGAGGTAGCGAGGTAATGTGGATCTGCTCAGGAGCGGGGTTTCTGCCTGGAAGCAAACAGGTAATTATACTGGGATTAGAGTGATTTATGTAATCAGAGTACATACACAGAATCAAATCCTTCACACACAGAAAACTATGAGAAACTATGTACAAATGTGTAGCCGGGCCTCCACTCAGTTCTCTCATATGTGTATGTATTATGTATTCTAATACTACAAAA